CCTGACCCTGACGCGATCCGGTTCCCGCTCATCACATGTAGCCAGTCTCTCCGATAGCATGAAGTCGCCAGAGCTGTCCCGGCTCTTAAGTCTCTGGCCTTCCTCCTTAGTCGATCACCAGTGGACATTTACGGGATGTCACATTCCCAGCACTTGGCTAGACCCACGCAACAGAAAACCAAGCAACGGCAGCCAGAGCAAGAGTCCAGCAGGGTGGGGGCTGGAGCGATAGCATAGCAGGTAGGGCATTTGCCTTGCATGTGGCCAACCCGGGTTCGATTCCCACCATCCCATATGGTTCCCCAAGCATCACCAGGAGGAATTTCTGAGTGCAGAGCCAGAGCCAAGATTAATCCCTGTGCATCTCCGGGTGTGACCCAAAAGCCCCCCCCCCCAAAAAAAAAGTCCAGCAGGGAGGGCATTTGCCTTGCATGCGGCTGACCCAGGTTCAATTCCTAGCATCCCATATGATCATTCAGCACCAGCAGGAGTAATTACTGAGTGCAGGGCCACGAGTAATTCCTCAGCATTGTCGTGGGTGAAACACCCAGCCCCCACGCCCCCCCCAAAATAAAAGGGAACAAACCAAGTAACATCCAGTTGCTCTGGGATCACCAAGGCACCTCATACATATGACAGGTTTTAGAAAGAATTGAATGTGGGAAGCCTATCAATTTCTGGCACTGCCAAAAACAAGAACAAATTTGCAGGCAAATTCACTGTCACTGTCCTCCTGTTGTTCATCGATTTTCTCGAGCGGGCCCAGTAACCTCTCCATTGTGCAACTTTGTTGTTACTGTGTCTGGCATATTGAACACATCACGGGTAGCTTGCCAGGCTTTGCCGTGCGGGCGAGATACTCTCAGTAGCTTCCCGGGCTCTCTGAGAGGGGCGGAGGAATCGAACTCTGGTCAGCCATGTTGGCTGCGTGCAAGGCAAACGCCCTACCTGCTGTGCTATCACTCCAGCCCGCAGACAAATTCAACAAATAAAAATAGAGAATCATCTGCCCAGTGCCACATGGTGAGGTTTAGACCGCAGAATAATACATCGTGAACTCTTTCGGAATCTCCGCCCCCCCGCCTTTATTTGGTTTATAGGGAAGGTACAGAAAAGTAAGTATCTTGGTCTGCAACAATCATGTTTGCTGGAGAGAGAATCAAAAATCAATCCGTTGGCACCATGATGACACTGTGAAGACCCATTAGGAAATCATGTAAGGAAAGAGGACAAAGGGGGACAAATTGGGCAGAATGACATGTGTTGGTTAGGTTGGGGCAGGACTGGAATTGACGGGAGCAGTTCCTATGGGAAGATGACAAGTGCAGATGGGACAGAATGAGGCCCGGGAGGCTGACAGGGGCCTAGAAGGAGCATGTGGTTAGGGGGCAAGGTCCAGAGACAGGGGAATTAGGTAAGTGGCTGATAAAGAAAGAGGAGAACATGGAGAAACCTTTTTATGGCAGACTGTGTTTGCCGAGCACCCACTTTGGTTAATCAGTTACTTCCCTTATTTATTGTTATATAAATGTGGGGTTTTGTGTGTGTGTGTGTCTGCGTGGAGCCATAATCCAGCAGGTAGGGCCTTTGCCTGGCATGCAGTTAAGATCCAGCAAAGTAGACAAGGTAGTGATTGCGACGTTTGCTCCACCTCAGCCGTGGCTAATTACTGGTGGCCACCTCTGTGGACAGTCCTCCAGCCATAAAGCCATTTTTATCATCTCAAGAGAATTCTCTTAGTCTGTCCCGCCAAGAGGGGCAAGACAAGAACTGCCGTGCCTCGATGAACTCTGTTGGCTTTTGCACTGCAACAGAATTTTGACCATCGCTGCCATAGTGTCTGGTCTTGGGTTAAGAAGAGTGTGAGTTGGTTGGAAGCCCCGCCTCATGCTGGGAAGGAAGCAGCTGGAATAGAGAAGGGATCACTAAGTCAGTGATGGTTGGAGGGATCACTCGGGATGGGAGATGTGTGCTGAAAGTAGACTAAGGACCAAACATGATGGCCTCCCAGTATCTGTATTGCAAACCATAAGGCCCAAAGTAGAGAGACTTTAAAGAGAGAATTTTAAAAAATGCCTGCCATAGAGTCAGGAGGTGAGGTAGGGTGGGGTGGGGTGGCAGGAGGGACACTTGGGGCACTGGTGGTTGAAAATGTGCACTGGTGGAAGAATTGCTGTTTGATCATTGTATGACTGAAATTCAATCATGAAGGCTTTGGAACTGTATCTCACGGTGCTTCAATAAAAAAATTTTAAGAGAATTTTAAGAAAAAGAAGTGTGTAAGCTGGAGTGATAGTTCAGCAGAAGGGCCTTGCATGTGGCTCATCCGGGTTCGATTCCCAGCATTTTATATGTCCCCCTGAGCAGCACCAGAAGTGATTCCTGAGTGCAGAGGCCAGGAATAACCTCTGAGCATTGCCCATTGTGACCCAAAAGGAAAAAAAAAAGAAAGAAAAAAAAAACACGTTTCATGACTTGTTTCATGCAGATGTGGTCAGGTTGCTTCTGGGGGGGGAAGGGTAAAACCAGGGAGGGACAGTGGGCTCTGGAGACAGGCATCTGCCAGCATACTCTGTCTGTCCATCTGTGACTCTGGGGCAGCTGTGTTCTCTGCAGACAGCTGGGAGTAAGTCCAAAGGCAGAGCAGCCCCCTTGAGTGAAACGGCTAAGTCCTGGCGCTCCAGTTGACAATACTGATTAACTTCCAGGCAGTGAAATCTAAAAGTCTCTGAACATCCAGCGACCTCATCCTTTGACTGTGGGACGCAGCAACACCCTAAAGATCCCCCATACCTATAACTCTGAGGTTATAAAGTTGGTTTCATTGAAGACATAGTACACTTGGTGAAATGCAATCAGTAATGTTCATGTGACCAACAGGTGGAATGTTGATTTGCAGGGGAAGGGTTTTGAGCTGCACCCAGTGATGCTCAGGGATTATTCCTGACTCTGCACTCAGGAATCACTCTTGGTGGTGCTCAGGTGACCATATGAGATACTGGGGATCAAACCCAGGTTGGCTGCATACAACGCAAGCACCTTACCTGCTATGTACCAAATCTCTGATCCCAGATTTTGATTTTTTTTTCTTTTTGGGTCACACCTGGCAACGCACAGGGGTTACTCCTGGCTTTGCACTCGAAATTACTCCTGGCGGTGCTCAGAGGACCATATGGGATGCTGGGAATCGAACATGGGTTGGCTGCGTGCAAGGCAAACACCCTACCTGCTATCCTATCACTCCAGCCCAATTTTGATTTTTAAAGAGTGTTTCTTTATGTATAAATGGGAATCTTTACCCCCGTGAATGAAATTTCATTAAAGGCATTTATCATCTGAGGTACTGATTTTAATATAAATTTCAACCAGTGTCAGATGGAATTTATTTGGGGGGGATCCTTTGAAGTCTTATGAATCTGCTCAGTATCTTCAAGTCCTGAGGAGCAGCTAGAGAGATAGTACAGTGGTTAAGGCACTCGTCTTGCAGGCAGCCAGCTGATCCAGGTTCAATTCCCAGGATCCCGTATGGTCCCCTGAGCCTTGCCAGGAATAATCCCTGAGGACAGAACCAGGAGTGAGGCACAACCAGGATAAATCAAAAAAAGGTTTTTTACAAAACAAAAGAAAACCCTATGACGGCTACTGGGAAGTTCATGGTTTTCTTGTTACTTTTGGATACAATTTTCTTTTAAAAATACCTAGTGACTGCATAACCAGTGATATATGATAGAATCTGCAGGATCTGAAAGAATAGGCGCTCATTCTTTCAGCTTGCTGTTTGCTCAGGCGCATGAGCTATTGACTAAACTAGCAATGATTGATCAGCTAGCATCAGAGTAACGGTATTGTTCTAGCCCTGGTACTAGTATTTGCCGTGCCACTGGACATCCAAAGACCTTGGCTTTGTTTACATTGCAAGCTAAAAGGTGCCGGCCCCATCATGTGCCATGAAAGGAAGTTGGGTAGATGATTTATCATTTTTTTGACAGCATCGGGGAAAAAATGTTTAGCTCTGTGTATTTTTTAGGGGGGAGAGGGTACCCCTATCAGTGCTGAGCGATGCCAGGAATCAAACTCACACATAAGAGGCACTTCCTCTCCCACATCCCTAATTGGGAAAAGTTTTATTCATGTATGTTTTAAATAAGAAAAAAGGAGGCTTTGAGGATGGACATCTAAGTCAATGGTAGGGTAGATACTCCCAACACATGAGGTGCTGTTTTATATTCCTGGTAACACACACACACACGTACACACACACACACAGAGAGAGAGAGAGAGAGAGAGAGAGAGAGAGAGAGAGAGAGAGAGAGAGATCAGAGGCTTTTTAAATAAAGAGAAAACAGGTTGTCAAATCTTGTCTCAGTAGGATTTTGTATGTAGTACCTAAATCAGATTCGTTAGGGAGCAAGGTGACTGGAAATTAGTAACTTCTCTTTTTTCTTTGACTTGAACTTGGTTTGTTAAATCTGTCGGGATGGGAGATGTATGCTGAAAGTAGATAACGGACCAAACATGATAACCTCTCAGTATCTGTATTGCAAACCATAATGCCCCAAACTAGAGAGAGAGTATGGGGAGTACTGTTTGCCATGGAAGCAGGGGGAGGGTGGGAAAGGGGGATATACTGGGGATATTGGTGGTGAGGAATGTGTACTGGTGGAGGGATGGGTGTTAGACCATTGTGTGATTGTAACTCAAACATGAAAGCTTGTAACTGTATCTCATGGTGATTCAATAAAAATAAATAACTAAATAAATGAACAACTTGCTAAAAAAATGTTTACAAGGGGATAAAACCCTGCATATGTTGCTTTTTCTCCTATTCCACAGGGTGATTTTGGAACGTATTTATTTCAAATACAAGTCCAATTAATTCAATTGTTTATGTTCTGTACTACTTCACCTCCAGTTATCAATTGTGATAGGGGGATGGGGTGATTTATTTGGGATGGATCAATCACCCAATGAGAGTCGCTGATGCCATTCTGTTGTTTCAGATTCGATGGAAATTTTAATACCAACGTGTCTAGAACCATTAGTTGTGACCGACTTTCCACTACTGTGAATAGCCGGGCCTTCAACCCAGGACGAGACTTAAACTCAGGTCAGTAATCTCTTGGTTTTAGAAAGGTGAATTCTGTTCTGACATGCTCAGGGTTAAGGAGGGTGTTGTTTAAACAATTTCCTGTGAAAGTAGAAAGGAACTATCACATACTTAAAATGGGATATGTCCTGCCGGAAGTTGATACTCAGAAGAGAGAGAAAAAAATGAAGCCAACACATGCTGAGCTTTTTGGTTTCTTATGTTTATCCTCTGCCAATTTTTGTCAGACTCTTTGCCGCATTTTCTTATTTGTTAGGGCCTTTGCATTTGTTATTTCAGAGACTCTTTGCTTAGCTAATAGGAGTTGGGGGTGAATTTCATATGTGTTCCCTCTTGATAATTTTTTTTTCAGGGGCTGGAGTGATAGTACAAAGGGTAGGTGGGGCATTTGCCTTGCACACAGCCAACCTGGGTTCAATCCCAGCATCCCATATGGTCCCCTGAGCACCGTCAGGAGTGATTCCTGAGTGTACAACCACGACTAAGTCCTAAGCATTGCCAACTGAGGCCCCAAAACCAAAAAAAAAAGTAATATAATATTTGTTTTTGTTTGGGTCTTTAAAGAACGTTGAGGGTTTTTTTTTTTTTACTAATAAATCATGCCCTGATGTGGTATGTTGCCATTGGCCTGCCCGGTATAGTAGCATTCCTAATTTCCAGGCCCCCTGTGTGGTGTCTTCCACCCTGAGAGGACAATATCCCTCTGTTTTCTTGCCTGGAGACATGTCCAGTTTCCTCACCCTTTTTCCCCCCCCTGCTTTTTCGGCGATGCTCAGGAATTACTCCTGGCAGTGCTCAGGGGACCATATGGGATGCTGGGTATCGAACCCGGGTCAGTCGCATGCAAGGCAAACGCCCTACCCACTGTGCTATGGCTCCAGCTCCTCCTCGCCCTTTTTACCGTCTTATGTACATATGTTGATTGATGTTGATTGAGAGGGCTCAAAAGTGAGTCATTCGCCTTTGTGATTTAGAAAGACTTTTTTTTTTGCTTTTTCAGTCACGCTTGGCCATGCTCTGCACTCAGGAATTACCGCTGGCAGTGCTCAGGGGACCCTATGGGATGCTGGGAATCGAACCCGGGTTGGCCGTGTGCAAGGCAAACACCCTACACGCTGTGCTGTCACTCCAGCCCCAATTTAGAAAGACTAAGAAATTATTTTACTAACCTCACTCCTTCTAAGGAAGGAGACTTTTGGAGTTCCAAGACTTTCTGGAGGATGGCTGGAGAGATAAAAGTGCCCATCCTCACCCCAGAAGAATGCAGTTTCCCAAATTTCGTTCTCCTCCAGACATGTAAAACCCAAGGTGGGGACTGGAGCCATAGCACAGTGGATAGGGTGTTTGCCTTGCACATGGCCGTCCCCGGTTCGATTCCCAGCATCCCATAGGGTCCCCCAAGCACGGTTAGAAGTAATTCCTGAGTGCATGAATCATGAGTAACCCCTGAGCAATGCTAGATGTGACCCAAAAAGCAAAAATAATAATAATAATAATTTAAAAATTAAAAAAATTAAAAAACCCAAGTGGGAATCCAGAGGATCAGACTGCTGACTCTCAGCCCTCTCCCGCCCCATCACAGGGACGCCCGCAGACTTCAGGAGTTGTGTACACAAGCAAGGGCGTTTACGAGGTCTGGGAAGAAAACGCATAAGCGGGTGTTGTTGAGGGTTAATAAAACTATGACCGCCAGCTAAAGTGTTTCAACCGAATCAGCCAGGCACATACTGTCTAGACCAATATTTAATAGAGTCAAATAGTCAGTCATTTTTTTTTCAAGTTGGGTTAAGAAACGTGAGGGTTTATGAAGCACATAGGGTTTACTCCTGAAAAGGGAAGTTCAGTAAAAATATTTTTTCATGAAAAATGACTGAAAAAAGTAGGGCATGGAATGGGCAGAGAAAATGAATTATGGAAGATTCCTTCTCTGGCCCCGGACACAGAGCTGGAAAGTAGAACCGGCATCTTCTAGTTCCCAAGTGTAATATTTACCAACTTGCCCTCAAGTATGCTCAGTAACACAAGAGCTGGTGCGGTGGCTGGAACAACAACCTTTGACAAAGTTCACATTTAAATGTGTCCCAGACCCTGGCAATGTCATCTGACATTGTGGGCTAGTTAGAATTTGCTGTAATGCATGTTCACTTTGTAGGCTACTTTCTTTTTTTGTTTTATTTTTTTGCTTTTTGGGTCACACCCAGAAGTGCTTAGGGGTTACTCCTGGCTCTGCACTCGGGAACAACTCCTGGCAGTGCTTGGGGACCATATGGGAGGCTGGGGATTGAACCCGGGTCAGCCACATACAAGGCAAACATGTGAGCTACTTTTAAAATAATATTTAAGATTAGCGCATTGGCTGGAGCAATACTACAGGGGTCTAAGACCTCGGATGCAGCTGACCCTGTTGCCTTTCTGCCACCACCCAGTCCCCCTAACATCACCGGGAGCCGCCCTGAAGAACCCCAAGCCCCATAAATGTGGCCAGGGGTCAGGGTGGAGTTTAATGCCATGTAGTGTCATTTGGGAAAGTAGAGAGATCATTTATGTGGATCTGGATGTTTCTCTCATTAGTCTTGTTTCTTTGTTGTTGTTGTTCTTTGGTTGGTTTGTCTTGGGGCCACACCCAGCGATGCTAAGGGATTACTTCTGTCTCTGTGCTCAGGGTGGAACTGGAGGGGCCATATGTGGTCCCAGGAGAATAAACTCAGGTTGGCTGCATGCAAGGCAAATGCCTTATTTGCTGCACACAATTATTTTATTTATTTAATTAATATTAAATAGTTATTTGATTAAATGTTTAATTATAATTAAATTTTGAATTTCATATTTTAAAATATGTTAATTTTAATCATTCCTGCTCCCAGATTAGTCTTTCTTTTTCTTTAACCTTTTATATGAAAGCATTGAGTGTGCTTTGTGGTACTAGGGTTTTTTTGTTTGTTTGTTTGTTTGTTTTTTGGTTTTTGGGTCACACCTGGCGATGCACAGGGGTTACTTCTGGCTCTGCACTCAGGAGTTACTCCCGGCGGTGCTCAGGGGACCATATGGGATGCTGGGAATCGAACCTGGGTCGGCCGCGTGTAAGGCAAACGCCCTACCCGCTGTTCTATTTCTCCAGCCCCATTTTGTGGTACTAGTTGAGTCATCAAGAATTTCTTCAGTGGTTGTTTATCAGTGAAGTTGTGTATTGTTGCTGGAGTGAAGAATCCTGTTCGGATGACTTTTGCCTTCGGTGCATTGGATAGTTGTAGTAGGCATTTCTGTCTAGGCTAAGATCTTGGTGACGGAATTGGTGTGGGGAAATTGTATACCTGAAACTTGATTATGAATAACTTCGTAAATCTTGGTACCTCAATTAAAAAGGAAGAAAGGAGGGAGGGAGGGAGGGAGGGAGGGAGGGAGGGAGGGAGGGAGGGAAGGAGGAAGGAAGGAAGGAATCCTCAGTTGTGAGATTAGAGAGATCATTTGTATTTGGGGGTCTTTTCAGAGCTTTTGTTGTTGCCCATTAATGCAGAGGAATTTCTTCATTATGTGAACCAACCTTATAGCTACTGGGTGGCAGACATAGGGGACAGACAAAGGTGCTAGTAGGGGCCAGTGGGGAGCCAGCATGTGTCTTCACCCTGGAAGTAGTACTTAAATCATGAGACTCATTGATTATGTAGCATGCGTCCACGGTAGAAAGAGAAGGTGCATCTTACCACCTAGTGGTCACTGAATTGAAAAGGATATTGTCAAGGAACCTGAGACCTCGGTCTAGGAGGTGGAAAATGAAGAGATCCATCTCCTCGAAGTCTTGGAAAGGGTTGTGAGAAAGAGGGGGAGGTGGAGTCAGAACAGTGAAAGCTAAGAAAACCAACCACTGGATTTTGCAGCTTAGTAGTGAGCCTGGCAGGAATGGTTTGTTGGATCATGGACTGGAATGAAAGACTGACCCGAGTCAGATCATTCATTTTTTTTTTCATTCGTCGATTGCCTCGAGCAGGCCCCAGTAACGTCTCTTTCATCCTAGCCCTGAGATTACATTCAAGGCTCTTTAGGAGAATGAGACCCATCATTGTTACTGGTATTTGGCATATTGGGTACGCCACGGGGAGTTTGCCAGACTCTGCCCTGTGGGCAGGCTACATTCGATAGCCTGCAAGTTTGTCCAAAGTAGGAATGAGATAATAAGATGTCATAAAAAGATGTCTTGATAAGATGTCAAGCTGCCGCAAATGCGGCCTCGCGGTTCCGGGAGCTGGATTTTATAGTCTCTGAGTCTTGGCCGCTGATGGGATTACACGGTGCCGGGGGCCAGGTGGTGGGTGTGACCCCCGCCTACTGGAATTTGGAGGATCTGGGTGGAGGATGCTCAACTCCAATCCGAGTAAGCTTGGAGATCTCAGCCCCGGAACCCGCGTGGCTTTGTCCCTCTGCCAGTCAGATCAAGCTTGTAAGAATGGAGGAGAGAGCTAGAGAAGGAGAGAGCTGGGAAGGATTGAGGCACTTGCCTTCCTCATCCCGGCTCAATCCCTGACACCCCGTGGTCTCCTGATCACAGAGCTGGGGGAGTACCCCCAAACAACACCAAGTGTGGCCTAGTCCTCTCTACTCCACCCCTCAAGAAAGGAATGGAGAAAGAAGCCAGTCGCAATAAGCATGTGAACTCCAAAGGTTTGCCAAGAGGAAGGAGATGTAGTGTCCAGAACATGGTTAAATTGAAAGAACTTAGAGCAAGATTATGGTCATCGGGATGATCCAGTCAAGAAAAGCAAAGGATACAGGAACGAGGGGAGATGGTTCTCATGTTCCTGAGGAGACAAGAGATGGCAGGCTTCCAAGTTGAGGGTTTTGTAGCAGAGAGTATCTTTCTTAGGAGGGAAGGAAGAGTATGTATGAGAGAGAGAAAGAGAGAGAGAGACAGAGAGAGAGTATCTTTCTTAGGAAAGGAAGAGTATGTGTGACAGAGAGAAAGAGAAACAGAGAGAGAATGTGCATGAAAGAGAGACTGTGAGTAT